AATATTTTGGTTTTTGTAAATAAGACCGCGAGCCGTAATTTGGCCACCCCTGATATAATAGTACGATGTCATTTATCTATTTTGGTTCTCAAATAATATTATCATCGGAGTATAGGTCTTATTGTTTTAAAATATATGGAGATATATAACATCGTATTAGCTCCCTTTATCCTATCTCTGGTATAAATCTATTGTAAGGTTAAATATATAATTATATTAGCAAACAAAGTTAGATTAAACAATTCATAAAATGTATTACTAAAATTTTATATATTTGATAAATTACTTAAAGTATTATCTAAAATTAATTCATATGTTTAGTCTTATAAAAAATTGCATGAACTGACGCTTCAATGTGAGAGTTAAATTACTATTAATATGGTTATGCGATTTTATCAAGAACCTAGAGAAGATTTCCATAGGTACAATGTTTCAACAATTTCTGAAATCGCAGCAATATTTGAATCATCAGATGGTCCACCTCATTCACATAAACATACTAGTTTATCCAAAAGAAGGAGATATATAAAGTATTGGTTACGACAGTATGCATTGTGACCCTATGATTTACACTTTGATATGGCCGTACAGTGAACCATATTGAAATATAAATATGCAGTATAATAGTAAATGTAAAACTGACATAAGATGCAATATTTTCATGCGTGAATATATTTCAAAAAAAGAGGATTATGTTCATTTGTTGGTAGTCCTTGAGGTTCATTATAAGTTTAGAGATGTTAAGGATATTGAGAGAGTTGTGTTCGCAGAAATTCCTGATCCAAATCATGATAGTACATTGTATAAAATTTAGTAAAAAGTCATATTTTACACGGACCTTGCGGGAATTTAAATTTAAAGAAAATTATATGAATAGAAAATAGTCAGTGTAAAATATAATTCCCTAAATTATTTTCAAGTTGTACAAGAGAAAACTACAATAGAAATCCTGCGTATATGTGATGAGATAATGACCAAAAAATAAGTATAATGGTTAATGGAAAATTTATTGCTATTGAAAATAGTTATGTTGTGACGTACAATAACTTTCTATTAAATTACTTTAAAGTTCATTTACATTTTGAAATTTATGCAAGCGTCCACAGTATCAAATACTTACATAAACATATTTATATAAAAGTCATGACGTGTTAATCTCCAAGTTATTATCGACTAAAAATCAGTGAATTATGAAGTCTCAGCTTATTTAAGTACTAGGTACGTTGAATCATGTGAAGCAGCTTATAGAATGATTTCATACAATATGCATGAACAATCTCATACTGTAGTACGACAAGTGTATTCCACCAATGACAATGCAGCAGAAGCTTTAACGCACGTAGAGTTGAAAAGTACTACATTAATAGGATGGTTAAATTTAAATAAAAATAAAGAAACTAAAAGTCCATATAGTCATTCCGAGACATCTATTCATTATGTTTGGAATGGGAAGCAATGGAACAAACGAATTAAATATCTTCTAGTCATTGGCAGAATGTACCATGTATCATCTTTTGATGGTGAACGGTATTATCTAAGATTACTTCTACTCCACGTTATTGGTGCTAAATCATTCGAAGACATTGGACATATTATGGTATAACATTTTATACCTTTAAAGTTGCAACTAAAAACTGAAATTTGCTCTTAGATGATTCAGAGTGGTATTGTTATTTAAGCTAAGTCTCTGTTTTTCAAATGTTCAAGCAAATTCGATAAATGTTTGCATATATATGTATTTTTCAGAGACCTTATAACGCTAATGTTTTATGGGAAGTATTTAAACATGCAATAAGTTAAGACTTTGTACAATTTTCTAATGCCACTATTGCTTATGAAATAACTTAATCAGATATTTCAGCTACATTAAAATTGCATGGTTAGTCATTGACATCAATTGATTTACCAGATTATAATGTTACTGTTATAAATAGCGAATCAAATCAACAAAGTACATTACCATTATCTTTTCAACGTGATTTAATTGAAGTGCGAATCAAGAACAATGTGATATTGTAAATAATATGAAATAAGTGAGTCTTGTTAATACAAAAGGTCCTAACGTATGTTATATTGATGATCCTGGAGGTACAGTGAAAACATACGTTTAAAAATGCCTCATTAACAGACTAGCTGAATTATCCGTCGATGCCGGGTTAAATTTATATAAATGGGTTATGATGTAATTCCGGTTACTTGGACTGAAATAGTAGCAATATGGTTACCCGGAGGTCGCACAATACATAGTCGATATTAATTACCTTTAGTTTTAACAGATATTTCGGTTTCATCATCGAAGGTTAATAGCAAAGAGACATCAACTATTCGAAAATCAAAACTTATTATTTGTGACGAAGCGCCTATAGCAAGTGCGTATTCGTTAATGGTTGTTAATCGATTATTAAAAGATATAATGGAAAACTATGTTTTCTTTTGTGGAAAAATTATTGTCTTGGGAGGAGATTTTAGACAAATTTTATCAGTTTTCCCACATAACTTTAGACAGCTTACTATTCAAAACTGTATAGTGTTCTCCGATTTGGCCGCCTTTTCAAATTCTTAAACTATTTAGAAATATGCAAGTAAACCAAAATTAAATTAAATTTTCTAAGTTTTTGTTACAAGTTGGAAATGGCGAATACTCTCTAATAAATCTTGACACGAACGAATATTAAATTGAAATAAAATCCTTATTATTAAGTGATAAAATAAAATATATATTTGGATATAATATTTTTAATTTATAAAATATTTCTATTTTTTCACAATTTGCTTTTTTGCACCTAAAAATAAACATTGTGATGAAATAAATTATGCAATTGTTATTATGTTTGCAGGTTAGTTTATTATTTTCCATTTAATGTTTTACCTAAACATTAATTGCACATTGTTATTACAATATATACATAATTTATATTTATTCAATAAATTATTTATTTATTTATTTATTTATTTAATTATTCAATAATTTTATTTTTCTTTACTGTAATCTGACATCGACGGGTAACAGTATGTTTTATTAAATAATAATTTTAAAAGTATTTCTTTAGTTTACATCTAAAATTATTTAGTTTTTCTATTTTAGTATAAATTATACCTAAATGGAGTTTATGGCCGGGTTCTGGAACATTGGCCAAAATTAAAACCGATTGTAATTTCACTGGAAATGGTTGACTACTAGCGTGGGTTATTCTGCCAAAATCACTAGCTCATTTGCCAAGGCTTTTTAAACTCAAATAATACCCTTGTCAATGAGTAAATCAGTGTTTTGTAATGACAAGTACTTTAGTTTGTAAATAACGAGTACCTTTAAAGATTTTTTTTTGGTTTTGATTGGTTTTGTTCTTTGTTATAAATTATGCAAGAATTATCTCTGAGTAGGTGATATATATATATATATATGTGTGTGTGTGTGTGTGTGTGTGTACATGTGTAATAAATTCTCGCTGTGTCGAATCTTAAGGCGAATAGAATGTTTTATCGAAAAATTCGAAGCGTGTATCAACGCTCGACAAGAATTATCTGTAGATATTTTAAGTGTATATATGACGAGTGTATGTAGTATATGCATGGGTAAATGTGTTTATTGATTTTAAATGTTTCAGTAAACAACATTTCACCTACTATATGCTATTAAAAGCAGTGGTTATTTGTTTTTATTCAAAGGGCCATAATACTTTGTATTTTGATTACTTAATCAATATTGGTAAAATATTAAATGTGTTAAATTCTTGGTAAAGTGAAAAATGAATAATAATGCTTGAATTATGTAAATTTTCTAAATCTGTACTTTTAATTATGATTTTCTGTAGAGGTGTTTTAATAATTTCAAATAGATTTGTTGAGTAACTGGGAGATATAATTTAGCAGTTATGTTACAAAATGTTAAATAAGTAATTTTTTAATTTCATAAATATATAAAAAAAAACTCAAAAAATATATTTGAATACAGTTTTTTTGGTGATGTAAAAGATTTTGACAGGCTACTGAGGCTAGTATTTTTTAGTTTAAAGACGATAATAAATCATATTATTAGAATAAGATTTTAAATGATAAAAATTATTGTATAAAAATAAATTCTTATAATAGTATTTTCGTTCAATTTTTAAATATTACTATAAAGAAATACATTTTTGCTAAGTTATTTGTAATATTTTTATCATAAAATTACTCGTGAACAAAAATGTATTACTAAATTTTTAGTTTTCAAGATTAGCAATAATAAGTATTTTGTATTTTATGTAAGGAAAATATATTTTGACGTATTTATTATGAAGTATAAAATCTTGAAATAAATAGTTGTTTTTACTTTCAATATTATTTCAGGTTATTACTTTTTTTTTTCAAAATGAAATAATTAAATGTAATATTGATAAATTTCGGGTATAACTATTTTTTTATTGGTACGCGTTTTTAAGTGATTAAAAATTTGAGAAATTACCATTAAATAAAAGTAAAGTATTCACTTTATTGATGGACCTATGGAACATTTGGAAAATCGTTCATTATAAAAAAAAAGTTGTATTTGTAGCTTATAGAACATTGCTTTAAACAATTTTTTTTGTTATTTTTACATTCATATACATATTCTAAATTGAAATTATTCTTAAGTGTCATTCAAATTAAATTAATAACATACATTGAAAATCTAATAACTGTATACGAACTAAATACCAAAGGATTTAATTATCTACTCCAAATTGTATAGGTATAATTTATTTTTATGTACATTCATAATATTATTATTATTATAAATTATAATGATTAATTGATTTTTTTTCATTATAATGTACAATCTTAACATAGTAATTTTAAATTGTATTGAATAAAATAAATTATTGATGATCTCATGAGGTCCTAAAGATATTTATTGTTCATATTTTATTTCAATATTTGTAATAAAAATAAGATTTATAGATTTATTTAAAAAAAATGTAATTCCATATTATTATTATTATTATTTTATGCGTTAAATTGAAAACTATTTTTTTCTTTTTTAGGAAATTCAGATGGAATGTATCATATGAAAATTTTAATTCCTTGTATTACCGCTGGTGCTATCATAGGAAAAGGTGGAGAAACCATCGCACAACTACAAACAGAGACTAATACAAAAATTAAAATGTCAAAAACAAATGATTTTTATCCTGGTAAGTTGATTAACTTAATAAAATCTTTTTTTAATTTAAATATATAATAGTTAAATTAACTGTTCTAATACATTTTACTTAATTCAGGCAATGGATAGACTTACAAATATAACAACATATTTTTTTGCTCAATTATTATAATTCTGCTATGAAACGGTTTAATTAGCAACAAAAATATGTAAATAAATAAATAAAAAAGACTTACACTCTTCTAAAAAATAAAGTGTAAATATCACCATTCTTAAAAAAATCAGTTACATTTCCATAAAATTGATTTTATAAATATCTAAAAATAATTTTAAAAATTTGAATGGAAGTAAAATTATTTCAATTTCATCACTTTGCATCTTATTTTTAAAAAGCAAATCCCTTTCCACTTAACATAAAACGAAATGTATACCCGATTGAATAAGTTCATGTTTCTTCCTGATCCGAATATCAAATCCCTATCTTTATATTTAATTTCATGTATACTTTTTTGTAATATGTAAGGATCGTATTTAAGCCGTGGGGATAAATACAAATTGAACGAATCTCACTGGATCGATTTTAACATTTATGTATAGGTACATATACCATTAATTTTATGAAAACGACTGACTAGCCGTTTCTGTATAAATTTGAGTGTCGATTAATTACCATATAATTTGGGGAGATAATACGTATTTTTGAATAGCTACGTAGTACATTTTTGTAATATATATATATTCTTCCATAATTTTTAACAGAAAAGCATTTTAATATTGATCTTGACTGTAATTGATTATTATTGAACATCATTTTTGCTGTTTCTGCCAATCAAATGAATCATAGGTACGTTTATTATATGTGTTGTAAATATTTTTATACATTTAATTTTTGAATCTATCAAATTAAATGGGAGGTATTGTTTTTAAATGGGTTTCCTTTCTCCTGATCATTAATCCATTATTATATTTTATTGTGTAATGTCGTCTACTTATTATGCTTATTTGTATAGATTTTAAATTAAGTTAATTTAATAATTAAATTTAAATTAAAACAAAAAGTTTCAGTTATTATTTTCATTTTGTTACTTTCATATATCACTTATTTCAAGCATAAAAATGTATAATTGAATTAAAATGTGTATACTATAAATTGTTGCGATGCGAATATATATTTCATGAAACGGTTTCTTCGTGTAAAATATTTATGTAATTTTCAATATTTCTGTCTTATTATAATATTATTAAGAGAGTAATAAAAGATACATAAATATACATAATACACTGATATTGGGTATTCTTAAAGACAGTTATGATTAATATAATTTAGCTTTATAATTTTACAACCGGATGGATTGGTTGAATTAATGAACCAATTTTTGTGAAAAAAAAATAATCACTTAAATTTAATCATTGTAGTAACATTCAAACGCTTAAAAAAAAAAGTATTTTCAATGTATACAAAATCGTAGTTAAAAATTTCATTAGGAGGGAGGACAAATATTTATCAAAACATGTTTAGTGTTATTCTTTAAGTGTATTTTTCAATTTTTACATATGTCAAATTATTTATCTTATTTTATGGTCTTTAATTATAATTCAGGAAGTCAACACAAAAAAAAAAAAATAATCATCATGATATACTTGAAAATATTCCTGTAAAATTATTTATAGGAAATGATCATTTGAACACTTAAAATATAATTAAAAAAAAATATTAAATATTGTTAAATATGTAGCTAAATATATAGCTAAATTAAAATTTTAGTTAAAAATTTATGTATTTGTTATTTATGGTAATGAGCATGTTGTCCCCTACCACCATTGGTTATGCTCTTGTAGGTATGTATATTCGATATTTTTTCAAGAAAGTTAAATTAATATATGAGAAAATTTGTTTTAAATTTTCATGTATCGAAACACAAAATCGAAATAATTATAAAACTAGAACAGATAGTAAATTAAAAAAAAATAAAAATAATAAATTGTTATGTGCCAATGAATAGTGCGAATGTATAAAAATAATAATTCGAAAATTATGAAATTTCTATGATAACGTAAGTACTTTGTAAATGTTTGAAATCTCTCCAATTAATACATTTAGAATCATAAAATGATCAATTATTTGATACAAAAAACAAAAATACAATAGAATAACCGTAAAACTGTTGAGAATATTAAAAAATGACATCCCGAAAGTACCCCATAACAATATTAGTTATTGAAATCAATTTCTACTCTTGATGATCCGTGTTAGCTTTCTGGCGAAAACTATTCAGCTAGACACAAAAAATAAAACAAACCACCATAACCAATACATTTCTCGCTTCACTTAAAATCAAAATCTAAAAAAAAAAATAAAAAAAAAAAACCTAAAACAGCTAAATGGGTGTGGGTTATTATTGTTTTTATAAATATAAATTATATTGAAAATCCATTGGACGCGAAAATTACTCACTAATATTAAATAGCGAAATGTAATTAATATTAATTATTATTTTACGGACCATACAGTATTGTTCTAACATACTAGTTCTGAACTAATAATGAGCTATAGTGTACTAAGATGTGTGCCCGCGTTTGATTCTGAACACTCGAATTCGGTAATATTCAATATTGCTTGAACAGTTTCCTCACTAACCACTAACTACACATAATCGATGCGCGCGTATTCATTGGATTTAAAATAATTAATGCCAAATGGAAAGCTGACGCCGCGAACTACGGATACAAATTAGTATGTGCGATTTTTCCAATCTTATATCATCCACCCTCTAACAATTGGGTACCACACGTGGAATGGTTCTATTTAATACTCGGACCAAATGCAATTCTGATATCCTATAACGCGGAATTACTTTTATGTTTTTTACTACGTTTATTATCCCCAACTGTTCGGAAATTAGTTCAAATGGTTTTCTAGAACAAACCGTATCTATTATTAACCATACATAATATGCTTTTAGTGAACTTCAGCGCGAAATAGTAGTGTAGTTTTAAAATTAGAGACGTACAACGTAAGATAAATGTATTCCAAAAACATAGGAAGCTTAATTTACTTAAAAACTATCAGAAACGTGGTTTTTGTTAAGCGCTTATTCTTTAAAGTTTAATTTCTATTTTTAGATATTAGATATAGTACAATTTGTGTTAAATTTTCAGTTCATAAACAACCACTGAAAAAACATAACTTCCGACACATATCAAATTTATTATTTATTTTATATTTTTTATTATTATTATCAATTTAAAAAATACACAAAATATATTTATACTTATACTTATTAAAAAAAAGGCAGCGGGGAAAGGTGACAGACCGGACCTTCCAATTCAGGCAATTAATTTTGTTTTTTTATTTATTTATTTTTTATTTTATTTAAAAATACGGGATGAACTCTATAATACAAGAATATTCAATATACAATGATAAAAAAAATAGTATAAGCTCTGAGTAAACGAGGCTCAATTTTAAAGGGAAAATGAAGAGTCAGTGTTGGCAATGCGCATAAGACGGATCGGCGAGTTAAAATATTAGTTTGAGGAGAATAAGGGTATGTGGAACGGAACAGATGATCGTGTGCGGCAACAGGGGATATTAAACGAAACACGAGATAGTGATTCGTGACTGTCAATTTTAGAAGAAAGAAGATTAGAAAGAAATGCAATGTTAATTATAGTTATGATGTTAGAGTAATAAGTTTTTAGAAAATTCTAATAAACTAATTTCCAATTAATTATCACTTAATATTGAGTTTTTTATTTGAACTTAATCGGTGATTGTTTAAAATGGTAATTATATTTGTATAATAATAAAAAATAAAAATATAATGTAATAGTATAAAGCAGCGGTTCCCAAACTTTCTTCCGCAGTGCCTTTTTTTGGACTCAATTTAGCCACGGTGCCCTGCTGTGAATAACATGAAAGACAAAAAAAATACTCATTGATAACTAATTTTATTAATTTTATTAAAATTTAACTTCATTATAAATTAATGCATTTTAAAACCTAAAAATATTATAAAGTTAAAAAGAGAATGTCCGAGTATACAATAGAAAATATTTCATTATTTGAAATAAAGTTTTTATAAAAACAATAAAGAAAATAAATTTTAAACATTATAAACTATTTGTTATGAACCATAGACCACGGTGCCCTTAGAAAGTGCTCACAGTGCCCCTAGGGTACCGCGGTGCTCAGTTTGGGAACCACTGGTATAAAGTAAAAATTAAATATAGTATTAGGTTTTTCTTTAAGTTATTAAAATTAAGTGAATTCAATATTAATTTGTATGAAAAAATTAAGTTGTTAACAAACTATTAAAACACCATCGATCTTACACGCGGTGTGTAGATTTTATAATTACTATGGAATTCAATTTTAAACAGCATTACCAACGGTGCAAGTGCCGCTTCGCGTTTTATGAACTTCAAAAATTATAATTAGTAATTCGTGTCTATCGTTTCAATTTTCGCACGCATTTGCTCGTGTCAATGTAATCGCGCAATAGACTATAATATTGTTGTTAAATATACTTTACATTTTCTAATATTAACTTAATCACGCATTTAGAATTCGGAAAACAAATTTATCATTATGTCTACTTGAGATAGATATTCTCTTTTTCTTCTCTTAATCTGTTGTCGAGTCATTATAAATTTTCACATTTTCGAAGCTGAATGCTATTAAACCTTCTATTAAAAATATATGACAAATAATTCAAATAGATCTATTGTTCTCAGATATCTGATAAAACGATTGTAAAACAAATCAGTTGAAAACTATAGAACAACCCGATCAATTCATATTTTTTTTTATTATATCAATATATTTTTTAATTATTATTGGTTAGATTAGTTTTTTAGTGTTTGCTTATATATTTTGATTTTAAGTGTTGGTATAGGTACATATATTCATATCATAGTTATAATTTATCAACAATTGCAGGTACTACCGAAAGAGTTTGTATTATATCCGGATCTTGTTCCGATCACATAATGGCCGCGTTAACGTTCATCATGGAACGAATTCGGGAAAAACCAGAGGCAGCAAATAGGGTACAAAATTCTGCTGATGCAATTGCAGACCGAGAAAAACAGGTTTGAACACATATTTCAAAATAAAAAACACTTATTAGTAGAATGCAATTAATAAATCAGCAATAACGATAATAATTAAAGGTAAAGATTCTGATACCTAACTCGACGGCGGGTATGATCATCGGAAAGGCTGGGGCGTATATTAAACAGTTGAAAGAAGACAGCGGTTGCTTTGTACAGATATCGCAAAAAGCAAAAGATACGACTCTTCAAGAACGGTGTATCACTGTCTCAGGTAAATACTTGTTTGTAAATAGGTTTTTAAATTTTTTCTTTTATAATATCGTTGTACTTATAATTATCATTATTTATTTTATTGTTTTCCATTGCCTTCCATTACGCGTTCCATAGGTGACATGGAAGGAAACAAAAAAGTGTGCTCTTGTATATTAAATAAAATAATTGAAGATCCATTAAGCGCATCCTGTCCGAATTTAAGTTATGCCGATGTAAATGGGCCTGTGGCGAATTTCAATCCAACAGGATCACCATACGCCCTGTCTACAACTAATTGCTGTACGTTTCACCCTACATTTGTGTTTTATTGTACTATTTTAGTAAAATCTTTTAATTAACTATAATTTTACATTTCAGCTAACAATCAGACCAGCTACAACTTAAATACGTCATTATCTACACAGGATGTCAGTAATGGGATATTCACTAATAAATTCTTAGATAACGTAAAGCCATTATTAAGGTCTAGCGGGTATCCTGAAACGGCCGTTAACGAAATAGCCGTTGCCTTCTTGACATTAGCCAAGTAAGAAAATAAATATAATCTCTTTTTTTTTATTAAAATATTTTTTCGTCGACTTATATAACAATTCACAACAGTACTCATATAATAATTGAACATGAAGATAATTTAATCGTGTATAAATGAAATGCATGGACGATTACTGATAGATAAGTTAGTCATTGAAACCCACTTATATGATATACATTAAAAAAAAATAAAATCGATATTATTGTCTGGTCAGTATACCATTGCATTATTATTATATTTGGCCGATAAAATATAAATTAAATATAATTCAATATTAAATATTAAATGTTAAATATTCGTAGTGATTTATGAATATTTATGTAGCCTAATATTTATATATAGATATTTTTATTTTTGTAATCTGTATATTTACAATCATAATAAGGGATTAAACTAATATAGCCCTTTTTGATTATTCGGTTGTCAAAATGCATGTTAAAGTTAGTAGTTCACTATAATATAATACAAGCAAATACTCTATTAAAATTCTTTTACTTCTATGTACTGTATATAAATGATACGACTACCCGAGGTTAATCAGGCACAAGTGAAACCGTTTTATTATTTGTATTTCTATTATTCATGTCGAAATTAAAAAAATTTCAATAAAAAAATATGATGGCTCATCAATATACGCAATCATTATTTATTTTGTGTATACATTTTTTTCATAACACATACTTATAGTACCTTAATTCAAAAATAGGATACTGACGGTATTCAGCACTTATTGTTTGTTTGAAAAAAGCATTAAATTTTGGCCGGTCACACGTGAACCCTTTAAAAATCATTCACAAAATCACATTGTATTCTACTTGAATGTTTATAAATAATCATTTTATAAGAAAATATAATTTGAAAATGCTTAATCCTTCTGTTTTATAGGAATTAATTTTTTTATTTAAATATGATATTTTTTATAAAATTAAAGTAAAAATAAAACAATTTGTATTATATTCGATTACATCAAGATAGTAAATAATTTATACATTATATGAGATTATTTAAAGAATAATATTTTGTGTAAAAATAGGGTATATAGGAAATAGATAGGATAATTATTTGAAACATGGCTGATAATATTCATATTGTAATATACATTATTATCGTATTGATTTTAAAATTAACTTATCAGACGTTTGTATGCATTTGTTTTTAGGTAAGCATGTTACGTAACGATTTCTTAATCTTCGCGTAAAACAATATCGCATTAAATGAAGCTTAATATAAATTACTAAATAATGTATAAATTTTGAACAAACTCCACATTTAAACGTGTCTAGTGAATTATTAATTTTTGTACAGTTGGTTTATTTTTCATAAGAACTTTATATAATTGTTTATAATTGATAGTTGATCGATGAAAATCAAAAAAGGTTGCTGACATTTTTACAATTAAATGAATTGTATCAATATTTATATAAAAATCATGAATTTATAATTTTTTGATTGGTACAATGCTATTACATTGTTTACCGATGCCATAGTACGAGTACTTATTGGCACACGATTTTTGTCTCGCGTATGGTATTTTATTCAATTGGATAACAATTTTAATTTCGCGGTGCATTTTAAGTGAAACGCACTTTATTATTCAATGTACTCACAAAGGGTCTTGTGATTAATCCAATTTACAAAGTAATAGAAACATATTTTATATCACACGCAAGAAATGACTAATTTTCACTTCAGAAGTCGGAGTAGGTAATTATATTATTCAACGGTTTTCAATTGTGTGCTTTTGTAATTTTGTAAAATATAACTTCGAAGCCATTGTTTCACTACCACGTAATTTTGTTATATATATATATATATATACTTAAAAAATATTTTCATATTTCGTCAACGATTAAGAATGTATTGTGTAAATAAATTAACTTGAAAAACCATAAATAAATATTTCCTTTTTTTTTTTAAATCGTAATAAAATGCTAAAATAAAAAAATAAAATATTCTTGAAATAGTATTGGAATTAAGTGGCCAGAATTTTAATAAAATAATGAATGAATAATTTTTTGTTTAAACTTACGCTTGGATAGCATTGGTGAAATTGTTTATGTTAAAAAAAATGTACTTTTCCGGTTGGTTAGTTTAGACGTCAAATCAAATGTAGTTTGTAGAAATCTAACACATCGAAATGTATTTCGACCTAATTTCGGTCGCAATTTTTTTACCAGATTTTAAAATTAATAAACAGTTCATACGTTATGGAAACTTTAAAATGTTATTAAAAGTGTTGAGCTTGAAATCGAATAAAAAAATCTCGGTATATTATAAATGTGTTTATGAGAAATTATTCGTCAGCCGCTTTTAAAAGTGTATTATTATTTTTTCCTTTCCTAAATAGAACCTAAAGAGAATTTATTTTTGGGATTTAAAACGTCATACATTTGAACTTTTTGTTCTACTCTAACCTAGTACAATGGGTGTATACATCGTGCGTGTTCAATGGTATAGAGGAAAGGGATGATAATTAACGTGGGAGCAGCATATTTTCAACTCGAGAAGTGTTCCGAAAACAAATCCAATTATGTATTTACGGAAAATAATATTTCAAATACACATTTAATTCAAACACAAACCGAGTGTAATCCGAATCCTCTGGAGTGGAATGCACTCATATGCATTACTGCCATCCACCCTTCCCCGAATTCCTTGAAAACGACTTGATTGAAACCAAACCCGCGTCATCGCGGAATGGGTGGATGTTATCTAATAGTAACAATAAGCAATATACTATGTAGTCTTAGTAATAATAATGCGACGATGATATTTGAACGTATCAGTTCCTGTTTGAAACTATTACTTGAACAAATTATATAAATATAAACGACGAACGTGAAATGTATTATAACAAAATGAGATTGTGGTGAATTCATATCTAAACTGAGGTAGTGATAAATTTTGAAATGATCGTCAAAAACGCAGATTGTGTTACGGGTTTTCTGCCTCCTTGATAGTGATTATATTTTACACGGTTCATGAGATTTTTGAAACTAAAATAAATGCATGTATTTGTAAATTATTTTTGAACTCTGGTGTTCAGATATTTCATTTTGTTAACGAATTAATGGAGAAACAATGTAAAATAATACGTAGATCGTACTGCCCGTGATGTTGGTAGAGCACTCAACAGTTCAACAACAGTATTTGACAAGATTCATCCAACAGTTTTGTCAGTTGTCTGTTCATCGAACTAAATTAGTTAAACTTTTGTTCATGCCGGAAAGGTTGCAAATTCTGTTTTTACTTTTATCTTAACGAATAAAATTAGTATTCCATTAAACAATCATCCGAATAAATTAAAAACTGACATAAACACAGACGGACTGTTCAGACAATACATCTGGATTGAACCCGTGTCATACGTGCAACTTCACACTGACACTAGATAGGGGAAAATGTAAGTTCCTACATGAGACCTAGCAGATAAAATAATATATATACGTTAGTTCCTACGCGGCAGATAAAGTTACATACCTATGTAAGTTCTACCCGGTAAAAATCAGACACGTAGGTTAGTTCCTACTAGTGATGGGAAAAGTCTGGATTTTATTGTAAATTCAGATTCCGGATTCTGAAATCAAAAACCTGGATTCTAGATCAGGTTTTTATTTTGAAATTTTGAATTAGGATGCTTTTACGTGTAAGTGCATTGATTATTAATTATTATCAAGTCATAATGAATTCACCTTTTTTAAATGAAATTAATACATTTGATACACTTAAAGTTTATGTGATTTTAAAAACTAGTGGCTAATACAATTTTATTTTAAATCGATTAATTTGATCAACCACTGAAAAAAGTTCCACCACTTTTTGTCCTACCTGTATTTTATGATTAATCAATAAACTTATTTAAATGAAAATTAATATTACAAAACCGCTCATACAAATACGCATTAAACTAACAATACATAAATTAATTACATAATATATATTTTATTAATTTTATATAAGTATATAATTATTAATGACAAATTTTAAAATTAGGATGGTTTTATTTATATTGATTGTAACTAGAATAAATTAACTAGGTATTTAGTAGATCAGTTAGAATATAGGGAGATAGTTTAGGTCAGTGCTTTTCAACCTTTTTAACAATGCGCCACACTTCATCTCTAAAAAAATTTTCACGGCACACCAATCCATATATTATGTGAACCATATTTTATATATATATGTATATTATTAACAGTCTACTCTATTTGACGATTATTTATTTTGAAATATATTAATACAATCGATCGATCGAGACGGCTGCGACGGGCATACTTACAATAAATAATATTATATGTATCTACGATTAGTTCGATCAGTTTTCATCTTGAATATCAATAATAAGTTGGTAAATAAATACTTATAAAACAATTTATCGCGGCACATTTAAAGGGCGCTCGCGGCACACTGGTTGGGAACCACTGGTTTAGGTTTTATACATAAAAATGTAATACTCTGATTAAAATTTTACAACCCAAAATTTGGATTTATTTTACATAACTATTTCCTACCCGACAGGGAAAAAATAATAAAAAATCGTATAATGTGATGATTTATATATTATAAGGGTTATTTCTATAACTTAAAAAATTAACATAATTGTATTGATTAATTTGTTTGTTGTATAATCTAAAAAATGTTTAGTTTATATAATTTTCTTTTTTAGTATATGTTTTACTGATTTTTGTTTTTGTGTTACTATTTGTGGTTTTTATTTTTACATACATATTTATTTGAAAAAGTTTGTGAAGTTCAATAATTTTAAAAAAATCTAGACGTTGGTTTGACGTTAAAAATTTGAATTAAAATCAAATGAAAACTTTCGCATGCAATCATCGTATTATATGAGAAGATTATTGCACCCACATTTTTGGAGGAAAAACATTATCATTTGATATATAATTTCTAATAAATAATCACAAAATTCAAAACTAAATCATTAGAAAAAGTAAAATAACCAATATACGTAAAACTATATCTATATATCCCAAGTATAGAATAATCACAGAGTAATTTTTCCACCGTATAAGAACTCATCAAAGTAACTCTTTTTTTTTCCACTTAGGAACATAACATTTGTAGAAACTAATGTATGTAATTGTTTAACTGCTACTATCGTGTAAGAACTTACTATTCCCCCACTGAGTGACGAACTCGCAGACGACAAGGGATTGCGCGTTGGTCAGAAATAATTAAACGCTTATGTACAAAAAAGAAACTTTTTACTTAACCCTGTGTTACTACTGTGGGTCTAATAGACCAAGTTGTAAATCCATTTGTTATTTTTCTTATGCTGGCTAAACTATAAATTGCTTTTATCCTAAATACCTTTATGTTGGAGGATATAAATGAGAATTACATCATTTGCCGATAAACACGTGTACCTAGTTGTTTGTTAATAATTTGAAATTTTATAAAATATTCGGTCATTAGACCCATAGTAGTATTAGTGTTATTGTATTTCGATCTAAGGAACCAATATGATATTATGTGTATTATAATATGTTGTAAGTGTATAATATTCATAACACACATACGTTATAAATAAAAAAGGAAATAGTTTATTTTATGTTACATATGTTATGGCTTATTATATGGTTCTTATTTTAAATTTTAGTTTGAATTTTTTTTTTTTTGTAAAACGAAGTACTATTTATGTCATGTTAGTTTTTTTATCATGCATATACATTATAAATAATAAAGAAAACTGTTTGTTTTATGTCAAATAAATGATTTAGAAGTATAATTGATTATTAGAGTTAAATAATAATCATATTTAAGGTTTAAGGTTTAAATGGGTCCAAGAGACCCTGAGTAGTAACAGTGTAACTATTGTGTGGGGTAGTAACACAGGGTTAAATGTTATAAATTTACAAAAAAAAATATGTATGTGCAAAGGGAATTGCAAGCCATGATTTTCTTTCTCTTTCTGTCACACGTACAATATAGGAATTTAGACTTTTTATATTTCTAACATGCCGATCGATCTATTGATGGGATTAGGATTTTGAAAACTGATTTAAATTCGTCATAAATTCTTCTTTAGAACGACTTTTTTGATTTTTTTCTCCTAAAATTTCACAAAATAGAACTAAACCAATTGGAAACATAAAATTTAACAAAAATTAATTTTTAGGTATTTTAAGTACAACATTTAAAAAGTTAGAAAATCGATCTAAAGAAGACTTTATGAAAAATTCATATCAGTTTTCAAAATCCTTATTGCTTTAATAGATCGATCGGTACGTTGGAAACAGAAAACGTCGAATAGAATATCAATGGCCGTTTGCCCGTTTTGCCGTTTGCGCTATATTGATTGAGAGGCCAACTTCACGTAGCCTCACCAAGTCACCCTAAAATTTCAAATTATATTACATTTTTTAATTTTACTCATATTACTTTCATTATTATAATTTTATGATTATGGAATTTTTAATAAATGTGTTTTTGGGAACATTATTATAAAAAAGGACAAAACTCCTAGTCGCGTGAGATTCCACGGTCGGGCGAGATACAGGTTAGGTTGATAATTTCTCGAACTGGATAAGAGTGCATTGGTATATTGTATTTTGAAGCAACGATAAATCATTGCATTAGTAACACGATTCTGATTAAAGCTTCGGTATAATAATTTAAAAAAAATTAAATACAGTCCTTTTTTCATTGATTTTGTGCATACTTGTTCTTTTTCATTACTTACACAGTCCATAATTTGTAGGGATCGGACCGCATTGAAAATTTTAACAAAGGTTAGTAGTAGATCCGAACATTTTGCTACATTTTTTTTTAGACCATATCAGACTTAAAATTTAAAATGTGTTAGAGTGAACTGAGACCTAAAAAATTTCGAACTGTAATAGTTTATTATAATTTAATAAATATTTTATTTAGTTCAACATTGACGATTCTATTTTGGTAAATTTATAAAATTTATTGATTTACTTGTTAGTTATTAATTATTATACAGTACTATATTTATATATAATGTCTTAACGGGTTGTGGTCTAAAATAAATGTATTGTTCATATTATACGTGATTTTATTTATATACCTTTATTGGTAATAAATATAGATTTTAAACTGCTTGTAGTACTTAGTACAGAGTGTACATGTATATAAATACAAATTTATTGAATGACGCAGCTAGGTATCTGTATTCAAGCACTTCCATGTCACCCACAACCATATATAAAGAAAATAATGGTAACTATATTTCTTGAAAATATTTTCGATAATAATTATTAATATGTACCACAAACGTTTTATTATAAAACCATAAGATATCTCTCTTCACTCAAAATCTAAAAATGAAAGACAATTATTAATTTAAATTACAAAAGTATATTATTTACATTACAGAGAATACTTGATTATTGCTAATCAAATGAACATATACAATTTTAATTATAATATTGTGGTCGAATAAAAATTGGTTTTATATAGATACTATGATTTTTGAATAGAACTAAAAAATTACCAAAAACCATTATTAAAACCATAACTTGAAACCAGGTTTTGATTTTTAACTAGATAACCTGTTATTTTACATTTTTAGTAAAATGTGTAAAATAGAATAGTATTATTCATTATTTCTATGAAGAATAAATTATTGTACAAATTAAGCTAGTATAAATATTTTTGAACCATCATTCTCACATTGCCCACTGTTATTATATAATAAATTTACCTACCTAAATATTATGATTCACGACTTATGAGTGTGACTAATGTCTTATGAGTTGTAGATATGTCTTAATTATAATGATGGTCGATAGCTACACAATAGACCTGTCCAGAGTCAGGACTCATGGATTTTTCCAACGTAAGACACTTTATAACAACAAAGATTTGATATAATTTTCTATTTGTTAATTACACATATATTATTTAAATAAAGAGCTATTTTTCGACATTTGTTGGAACGTGTTGTTAAGTCGTGGTTGTGCAACTGATGTAAATTTATTAATTTTATTTTATATTGCATTGAAAATAAAATGGCAACTTCAAAGGTAAGGTTTGATATTTATTTTTAAATTACCATTTACCGATAAATTATTATTTTATTCTAATTGATTAATATTTTTTTATTCACTAGTACTAAATATATGATTACTTGAAACCAATTATTTTTTTCGGAAATTACTGACTCCAGGGTAAAAAAAAAATTCTCTCAAAAATCCTTGTGAATTACAAATTATCAATTGGCAAAAATTTAAAAAGTTTCACGAAAATGTGGGTGGACTATGTTTAAGATAATAAAATGGGATTCATGAGTAGGAAATGGATAATTTTAATTTGACCACAATTTTATAATTCAATTTATATTCTTTCGCAGAAATGAATTAGTATATAATGGGTGGGCCAACTTCACGTGCATCGTCTAAATCCCTATATTGTGTGTGTGGTGGAAATAAAAAAAAAATCATGGCTTGCGATCCTCTAAGATTCTCGGAACGTAAACGAAAACAATATATTCATTTTCGGTAACACCGATAATTAGGCTCAAATTAGTATATGTTTTAATACGAGTTGATGGTAGTGAAGTTATCGAATTTATTTTAGACCTATTTGAGCGGGTCGCTAAAAAAGTTGAACAGTTGCAATTAACAGTTTATACTAGACATGCTAGAATTAAATCACATAATACCATTTAATTACATGTGGCCTGCGCCTTTGTTTTGTTTGTCCACCCGTAGGCACAACGTGCTAAGCCCGAACACCATCGTCGGGCTGATCAACCAGACGAGCATGTTGCAGCCAGCGCCGCCGTCGGTGCAGCACCACAACGGCACCGGGCTGCTGAGCACCGTGACCAACGACCTGTTCGACTTGGGCCTAGCGGGCGGCGCGATATCGATCAACGCGATCCTGTCGCAGAACGCGGGCAGCCCGACGCTGTCGAATGCCAACTCGTATGGGCTAGGCGTGGCGGCCGCCGCAGCTGCGGCCACACCAAAGGCGATCGGGCCCGCGGCCGCGGCTGCGGCCGCTGCCGCCGCGCTGTTCGAGATGACCACGGACGACCAGCAGTCGGTGAAGCGCGAGATGGACGTGCCCGAGTCCATCGTGGGTGCGATCATCGGCCCGGGCGGCCGGTCGCTGGTCGAGATCCAGCAGATGAGCGGCGTCACTATTCACATATCCAAGAAAGGCGTGTACGCGCCCGGCACCACCAACCGAAAGGTGACCATATGCGGGTCGGCCAGCGGCATAGCGATGGCCAACTACCTGATGCAGCAGCGGATCGTGGACGAGGAGACCAAGCGGGCCAGGGCGTTCTAATGCGCGTGCGGACCACGTGGTGCCGGACGTGCGCGCGTGTTGCGTCGTGGCGGTGATTACGCACACCATTTCGTCCGCATAGTCACTCGTTAAGTATTATCAAACACCATACCGCATACGCTCTCCTCGAATTCCACATGGTCGCTTTTTCCTCCACCCCTGTTCACGATCACCGTCCGCGCGATGGTCGTCGCGACGCCCGACCATACCGGCGGATGTTCAATTTTTTTTTTATTGTTCTAATGGTTTTTTTTTTCTAAAGCGTTCACACCGTCTACGGATTTATAACTATTTTTGTTTTAATTATTATTATTATTATTATTACTTTCATTATTATTATATATCCGTACACGTTCTCGGGCGTATATATCGAAAATGGCAACGGGCTTTATTTACCATAATTTTAATTTAATTTTTTTTTTCTCTCTCTCTCCGTTTAAGGTTATAATATTTGTCATTCTATCGATACGGGTGCTTTGAACAAACATCATCCCATTCTTTCGCTGCGTACCGGATGATCCCTGTGCCCGGTAGTTCACGGTACACGGGTGGCTCGGGTGATCGTATTTCGTCAACGGATACCGTTTCTCTCCTTCCACCTCCCTCGTGCGTGCTTATCCCCCAGCGAACCCGAAACATCCCCCGATCGGCGTCCTCCGTGGTGCATACCGGGGACCGCCGGACGGTTCTACGGCTTATGTAACTTTTCAGTACAAATGCGGGATGATTCCGACGTTCACGTTCCGGGATGGCGCTTATGCATGCTGCTTCCCTCCGTCGACCGATTCGAGTCGACCGAGAAACCGCTTGGGGTCGCGCGTCCCGGACGTCGTTTTCGCTCGGTGTTCATTTTTCCATTTAAATGCAGGAGAAGAAACGTTTCGTCGCATCTTATTGTTATTAAGTGTTGTTTGCATAAGACGTAATACGATTTCGATTAGGAGATGGTTCCGTTTGTTCTGTATTCGTAAGTACCACGGGAAATCGTATCATTCGAAAACATTGAGTAGCCCCATTGACGACCAAACTATGTTACCATGATATATGTATTTATGACTTATACTATTCATAAAAAAAATCCTATTATATATATAATGATTATGTATGTGCAGGGTGGGCCGCGGCATTATCCCGTTTCCCGTTAAGCAGCTTATCGATAAACGTGCCCCGTCCTGTGTAATACGAATTGTCTGTTGCAATATTCCAATTTTTCATTTCATCGAGTTTGCAACGCGTAAGACTGAGTCAATAACAACACGAACTAATTAGCACAGCAAACCAAATTATTATATGACGTTCATGCACATTAATTTCTGACCGATAGTGTTCTTAATGAATTTCCTACGTGAATTTTTTTCGTCCCGATAATAACGTACGAAAGCGCACGGATGCTCTGGTAGCGTACCTAAAATATAAGTGATATGTTTTTTTTTTTTTTTTTGGAACAGGGTATTAATGAATGAATTGACGGGACAGATCGAGTCGAACGTACGCGGTACACGGGTAAATACTTTGTTACACATCACTAATCGTGTTTTACTCGTGTACACCAATAATCGTCACTTCGGAGAGGGGGTAATTAAGAGATCTTATTCTTCATAAACTAATCATGCATCTATTCCGTGTGCATATAAGTATAAGGATTAAACGCATATATATATATTTAGTTGCATTTACATTATTTTATTTCTAAATTTATTATAATTTCATTTCACACACATATACACACATTTCGCGGAATCATTTATTGAGGAAAAACAATCCAGCTTATCGAAGAAATAAATAAATGTATCTATATTTTTGAAAAGTAAATTGCTCAACAAATCCTAACAAATCGTATAGCTGATAACTACGGACAAAAACTATTTAATATACTATCTATTGTTACCTCTGTGACGATGATGGCTATTTGTTTAATTTATTTGTTTTTATTATTATTTAATTTTTAATTTTTAACTGAACAATGTAATATAATAATAGAGTTATATTTCAAAACGTATTGGTGCTTTTTAAAAATAATAATTCGTTCATGTGAGTATAATATTATAACCCTTATGTAATCACATGTAGGGGACCGGTAGTAAAATTTAATAAAAAGTGCTTTTTTTTGACCCAAATCGTTTTCGATTTCAATGACAACCGATCTGGCCTTTTCATTAAATATTTGTCTGATATATTTATAATTAGTGTTCAATCAGCCTATGTTGTGTGTTTATAAAATGTTCGTTTATCTTTATTCTACAATCCGTCCTGAAATAACCGTTATTCAATGGTTTATATGACTACTTTATCATTTCATTTTATGAATTATAGTGTAAGGGTCATTAGGTGACACGTATGTATCTAATATCGTTCAAAAAAAAATTTTTACCCTAATGAACTAATACACTGTGCCATAAATTCGATCTCAGTGACATTTAAATAAACTATTTATTGATCTGAATATTAAACCTTAAAAAAAAATTAATGTCAATCTTTCCATACTTGTACTCATTTTTTTTTTTTTTTTAACTACATTAAATATAAGAATTTCAATTTTATGTGTGTAATTAAGTCTTTAGTGTATTTTATTGTCACTATTGATCACGTATAAAGGTTAGTGATATTAACGAAGAATAATTATAAATGACCGATTGTAAATTCAGGATTAGAAATTTTCATTTTAATTTCTTGGGGTTGTAGTTACGTAGAACGTTCACGGTAAACGTAATATTAATTTATAGGGTTGTAGAAATTACTTAATGAGTTCAAATACAGAATGACAATTTTTAACTAGATTATAAAATTAATTTATCAATGTAATTTTAATACAAGGGCTATTAAAATGTTTAATTATAGAAGCATTTTAAAATTCAAATACATTATATAAATAAATATTTTGATTTCGGGATGACACTGTATTTCGGCAATCAACATAAAATAATATCTAAAACAAATGAAAACTTTTTTACCGGTTAACGAACATATCACCCATTATATAAATTAATAAATATTGTGTATACATATACACATTGACCATGCATACCAGAATACATTATATACTTACCATTTTTTCAAAATCCTTGTGTTTTTTATTTTTATTTTTTTATTTATATCTATAACTCATTTGTCATCATTCCATAACTCATTTTCACACGTTTAAAACAAAGAAAATGTGATATTTAAATTTAATAAACTGTATAATTTTATTGTATACAATATACATTGTTTATCCTAAATGTAGGCACGTAGCTGTTGAAAAATTCCAAGCTAAAACACTCCTACGTTACAAAAAAAATAAGATCTTTACTCAGTATGTTAAGATAATATAAATGTGTAATTGTTTTATGTTTTAAGTTTTTATTTAAGGGAAATTATTATGTCAAACATTAATGGAATTGGTATAGAAATAAAAATGTATTGTGTTGTTACGGTAAATGTTGTTTTAATTTTTGTACATGCGTTTATCTTATTCCTTGAAAACATTCCTGATATCCTAAGTTAGTTTAATTGAACACACACAAAAAAAAAAAAACTTAGATCATCCAAAGAAATTATTATTTTCTATGCAGGGAGTATTTATTTTATCCTATATTCATTATATTATGAATAATGAATGAGACTTCCATCTTTTCGTTATAACACGTATGTACTTATTTACGTAAATAAGCTATAATAATCAATAAACATGACTTGAGGATAACAGATTAAGTATCGAGTATACAGTTAGGTATGAGAACTATGTATTTGTTTTCAAAATTATTATAAAGATGTCTATTGCTGCTTCTGTGTATATATATATTGGTATAAATATAGTGGTTAATCCACAAAAACATAACTATGATTCAATTGTCTTGCATAAAGATCGGCAGGGCACATATTTTTCCAATACAAATATGATATAATCGTTTTTGGCGCATTTAAATTTGTTGTAAGGATAAATTTATTAAAAATAGTTTTCCGAGCTCATTGTTTTCGTAGTTTATCTCTAAAGTAAAAACACAAACATATCTGAACAAGTTATTAAATCCTTTTTAATAAAGTAGTATGCTGAGTTTTCAAAACAATATAAATAGATATAAGTTTTTAGTTGACTTTATTTTCAAAATGATAAAATATAAAGATAATAATGTAATTAACATTACAATTATTAAGGGATAGCTTATCATTAACTTTTACTAGGTATATTTTGAGACTACAAAAATAAATTATAATATTATATGTTTTTTATATGAATACGAGTACATTACTACTCGTATATTTTTTGTGTGCAACGCTTTATTTATTTAATAAAATTATGTAGAAGTTGTACTACTTTAAAAATGAAATTTTTGATATACGGCGAAACAGGCTTGGTAAAAACATTTACGTAGGTATTCAAATACCTTTTTAAAAAAAATGTATTTGAAATATATTAGAATATTTTTACAAAAATATATTATTATTATTATTATTTATATTATATATTATTATTATTATATTTTTAAGTTTATTAAAAATTTTTTAAAATATTCGTAAATTCCATGAATTTTTTTTTTTTAGTGTGTTATATGAAGAATTTATTTGAAGTTAGAACGAGCTTAATATTAAATCATCGTTAGTAAAAATAGCAAAAATATATCAGAAACACGATTAAATTCGCAAATGAAAACCTATAATTAATACTCTGGTATTACATATAAGTTTAAACAAATGGGTTTTTTATAAACAGCCTATTATGAAATAAATTTCAAAAACCAATATGAAAAATATTAAAATTTAAAAATAAAAAAGTATTAGATTTATATTATATGGGGTTAGGCAATTGCGTTTGCAATTAATTAGTATTTTTAAATGTAACAAAAAATATGTTTGGTTATTTACCAATGTGCACTCTTATAATGCAAATTTCGTAAAAAAAAAAAAAATTTATAAACTATACTAGGTAAACTATACTAGGCTATACTAGGTTATTTTCATATCTTAAATAGATTTTATTCATTAGTGATGCATAAATGGACGTAACATGGAAATTTATTACGGGGGGAGGGGAGAAAATATATAATTACATATCTAACAAAAAGGGTGTCCACGGTCAGGGTTGGACTAGCTCTATAGCTCGGCCCGGGCAAAATAATTTCGAACTACTCAATAGAACTTTATAAATAGGTACCTAATCAAATTATTGTTTAACTGAAAATGTATTTTCGTAACTCAAAAAACAATTTACACATTAGTACATTTCAATATTTTCAGATTTAATATTAAATATAGTTTACGTATAATATATCTTATCTATAATATTGATATAATGACCTAACTAATAAGATTAATTTTATAACATAAAAAATGATTTGATTTAAATATGTTTATCCTTTTAATTTTAATTGAGTTAGAACACTAGTCAGCAACTAACGTCGTTTTTATACGGCCCGCAGTAAATGTCAAAATTAGCAAATGTCATTATACATACATTTTTTGTATTTTCTGGTCCTAGAACCATTTTTAATTTGAGAATTTGGCCCAAGAGTCCATAAAGATTTCCAACCACTGAATTAGAACATATTGTTTTTAATAAAATAATTACTTACCGGTAATATACTTGAAGTCGACAGAAAGGTTGGAAACTAGGTATAGACTTGTTATTGACTTAACATCAAAATTATTGCAATGTTTTTAAATAGAAGTCTAATAAATCTTTTAAAAATTATTATTATCAAAAAATAATTTCGTTATCGCATCTTGCACGACCGTTTCTACCCATACCAAAATTTTCTTTTGGTTAAATGTTGTTTGAACAAACGCGAAAAGTACGTCGTATAATTAACATTTGTACACATATTTTGTGTTCAAATTTCCTATAATTGTTCTATTGGGAGCACGTATAATAGCAGATAATATATCAGCCGATCCGTATTCTAGCCGAAATATATATGATCCGACTCGTAATTTGTCCGAACCGTATTTTAGCCGACACATATTTAAGCCGACAAATATTTTGTCCAAACCGTATTTGAGCCGATATTCCTAAAATATGTTATCTCCATATTACTGATTAGGTTATAGATAAGGATATAGTATAATTTAAGTAAGTATTTTTTATTATAACTTTAAACTTTATTACCTGATTATATAATATTGTAATAAAGTTATTAACTTATAAAATTGTAGGTTGTTAATGCGTATTAAAATATAAATTAAATAAAAATAATTTTCAGTCTGGCACCCCGGTCGCCCATAGCTTTCGCCGGTTCTGACTAGTACCTGACTATCATAACATAGTATCTATAACTGTGATATAAACTATTACCACAGTATGATATTATCATGCTCAAATGACAAATACTGTCGGCTATAATATTTTCGGCTATTTTAATGCTTCTTGTTATATTATAAATATTGTAATGAAATCATTGTTATCAATCGGCCTATCATGACATTAAATATGTTCTATTTGTAAACTAAAACATATCCATTTGTGACGTCACTTTACAGGGGGGATATTTTTTATTTTATTATAAGAATTGAAGATAGATGCATTAAAATAAAAACAAAAAATCTAAGTAATCTTATTTAACCAAATTACAGCGGCCCCATTGGGACATGCCCCGGTGTTCCAGTGACCTATTCCAACCTTGTCCGCGGCTAAACACCGCTTTAATACCTACATATTATATAAAATTATTAATTTTCTAACATTATGTTAGATAAGCGAAAATTGAAAATTAAGATTAAAAAAAAAAATTGTATTGTAATAGCTACAACCAGCTATCTTGTACTTGTTTTAAAACAAGGTATGTTTAATATTAGAAGGGGCACTGCCCTTCCTGATTTATTCAAGGGAGAAATTGCCCCCCTTCACCCCCAGTTTACGCCTATGGATGCATATTTTCGTAAATAAAATTAAAATTAAATTAGAAATGTTCATTTTAATCGATTATTTGATACCTAAATCTTCATGTTCGAGTTTAGTTATTTATTTAATTTACCTAAGTTTTTTATTTTTATATAATCATTAATAATGATTCGTTTGGATTAAAAACGAACCTATTATGTGATAAGACTTTACATGTGTATTTTATTTAAACTCACCAATCCAATGCGATTCTAACAAATATACATTATAAACAAGGGACACTGTTTTGGGTAGTAGATTATGGTATTACAGACGGCAGTCGATGATGCTATTCAATTCACAATCAATCGGAAAACTACATTATTATATTTACTGCGCACAACTGAGCAAGTAAAATACGTTTGTATATTATACGACGAATCCTTTGGTCCTTATTTGTCGATCAATAATATTCTACCGTTTATATAATAATAATATATGTATGTAAATGTAGTATTCTAGTCAATTATTATGAAGCGCGATCCAATAATGATAGAATTAATACCTACCTGGAAACATTATTACGTGACGCAATACGTTCCACGTATTTTTTTTTCACGGTTTTCATTATGGGTACAGCGTTTTAAGAAAATATATCCATCAATACACTTAAGGGACGTGGGGAGATTTACGTAATGCATAATCATTATTATTTAACAACATTTTTACCGGTAACCTGGGACTTGTAAACCTATTTGCACGGATTCTCGCCAAATGGGATTTTATTGAACTCGCACGTTTCTCTCTGGCGTAGGTATTCGCTTCTATATCACTATTGCTCGTGACTTGGGTGTAAGATAACATAATATGCGGAATGGGGAAGAGTGTTTCGAGAATACTATTAATGGATGGATTTTTTTATATCCATATACTTATTGGTCAGGCCCAAAATTCGATTTGTTCGTTCATAAAACACTTAACATTCGCATAAATGCACACTTACACTATTGTGTACCTCTTATTTTATTAACTTTTATCTTACCTTATAGATTCAATTATTTTTGTGATATTATCATCTTATTTAACAACAAATTGTTGGAAAACATATTAAAGAAGTTTGCAAAATATAAAATGCATTATATCCTTTAAATAAAATAAATCGGTTGCACTGAATGTTTTCAGGAGACTGTGAGAAAATGCAATTTATTTACTTAAAAGTTAAATATATAAATATATATATATATATATTTATTATGATCAGAGATGTGTTAAAGGTCAATGTCTGGAAGAGCAGCAATAATTTTGCTCATCGCTCTTCTAGTTGTTATGATGCTGGTGTTATTTTATTAGTAAATTAATTGCAAACATTGTTTCTGTAATGATTCCTGATGATGAGCAATTAGTTAAGTCAGATATTGACAACCTTTTTATTAAAACAGACCATATTTCCTTTAACTTTTCATCAAAGGCTGCATTACAAATTAAAATAAACGTTACTTAACATTTTAACATTGATTTATTTATTGATATAACTTTTTTAAAAAATAAAAATTCATGAGTGTAAAATATACGTGAATATTTATTTTGATTTATAAATAAATATTTACCACTTATTTTTAGTATA